TAACAGTTTAGCGTAATCTCGGTAGAGCCTCAGTAGCACCGTACACAGTTACCCTCGAGCTAGATATACCGATTTGTACCGGCAGACGTTGTAAGATCCTTATAGTCTTTCTCTTGCCTGGTACTGTAAAAATCTTAAATAAACTTATTATTAATTTAGTTATTATTATTATTATTATTATTATTTTAACTATGATAATAATATGACGAAGCCTTAAAATACCTTGACAAAAGACAATATCTCCCACATGGATGGAAATCTTTTTTATAATACTTTCTAGAAACGTTCACTACCATGAGATATATTGCCCCACACATAACCAAGGTCTCTTTGTCATACATAATTTAGGTCTATAAATCCAGATATTGTCCAGGGACATTGGGGAATTTAAATGTTGCTTTATAGAATCGTTCACCCCTTTTAAACGTTGGAACGAATTACCCTGCGCATGAACCAGGTCTCTAGGTCAAAGGTCAAGGTCACACTTAGATCGCTTTGAAACTTCTACATGCTTTGAGGATTTTACATTAAACTTTGCAAAAAAATTCTCATTATGAGCAAAACATTCAGGTCCCTTCGACCAAGGTCAAGGTCACATATAAGGGTGAAATTTCAGATAAAAATACGAAAATATTTAAAGTGACCAACTTGCTACACTTCTTATCTCTAACATCTCCACCTAAAGCTTTCGAGACGGGCGTATTTTGTGACAGCCATGTTTCTTATTGTAGCGAATGAATTTAACAACTCATTCATTAAGGCAGAGATGTTATCTATGTCTCTGATTAAGGCAATCCTAAGAACGCAATTTATGCATACATACATAGGTTGACAGACAGGTTTTCATCATCGTTGTTAACTGTAGATGGAAGAATACGAGAGGCCTTTTTGTAGCTGTGGAAGATTTTTTTAAATGTTCAAATGGCAGGAAAGTAAGAATTTATGATTGGTCGATCACATCTACAATATAGCAACATATCGGCTATTTCCGTCAGTATCCGGGTAAGCTCTAATTAGGAATAATTTGCGAGGTATTTCGAAATTTAAAGAAGCAGCAAAATTTCTGTACACAGTTCACTCGGCCATATTGCAGTGCTTGGTGATATTGTAACTATAGTTTTACTATTTTTCGAAACAGGAACTAGTAAATCTCTATTCAGGAAGAGGTCAATCATATATAGTTTGCAGGGTTTAAAACAGAAGGAACAACTGTTCGTAGTATTTAATGTAACGTTAATAGTATTTTCCGCCTTATGTGCCACTTGGCATGAAGAGGATAGTTAGTTAGTTAGTTAATAGTATTTCCGGATTTTTCCTTTTACCTATTTGTTCACCTCGATTTTAATGTTTCGTTTTAGTAAAGTATTGTGAAGCGGAGCATGCACATGAAATTTTTGAAGACTGGTGCTGATGATTTTAGGCTTAAATTGACATTCATTACGCAAACATGGATGACGCCAGAAAACAATCTCAACACTGAAGATGTCTGAAGACCTCTGAAAATATCCTCTCTGATATGTCAGAAAACGAGCTGCCCGACAAAATGAAGGCAACACGCTCGCCAAATGACAAAGACAACCCCCTATGCAACTAAATGAATACAACACGCTACGCGACAACATAAAGACAACACACATACTTTCAGATACGTGTATGATTTAAATGTATATGTTGTCAGATTTCAAACCAGACTAATTATGTATATTTGAAAAAAAGCAACCCATCGTCTATATATCCCGTAATGAATGTATCAGCGCATGTCATCAAATGAATAATAGTGACCTTTCAGCTAAGGATAATTAAATTATGTTTGGTAAATGTAATAACTAGAAAGGACATACTCACAATTACAAAGTCGAGGTAAAAATTCGTGGACCTGTTGACCCTGTGACCGGAATGGTGCTTAATCTGACAGATCTGAACGCTTGTATGGAAAAGCATTTATGTCAACGCTTGATAAAAAAATGTTTTAAGACGTCGTCTATTTTAAAGATAAAGTCAGCACAGCAGAAAATATTGCAGTGCATATTTGGGAGAGATTTGCTGAAAAACTTACACCTGGACTTTTACATGAGGCCAAAGTTCATTAAACGGAAAAAGGATATCACTATTTATAGAGGCAAGCAGACAAATGAAGAGCCGGAAGTGAACATTAATTAATGCATGTTTAATTCATGTTTTTGTCACGACTCACACCAACTTATGTAAAGTCCCCAAGGCATGTAGAATTTTCAAAGCGATCCAAGTGTGACCTTCACCTTTGACCTAGAACCTGATTCAGTACATTTGCAGGGAACTACGTTCTATGGGGTGAATAATTCTATAAAGCAACATGAAAATTCTTCCATGCATGTAGGTGATATGCTCTGGACAATATCTGTATATTTAATCATCTTTACTCACCTTGACCTCGCATTTATTGACATAAATTATGTGACCTAAATACCTTGGTCATGTGTGGGGCAATACGTCTCATGGTGGTGAATTTTCTAACTTTTAAGATTTTTGCAATACGCGACAAGAGAAAGACTATAACAATATTACATCGTCTGCTGGTACGAACCGGATTATCTTGCTCGTAACTGTGTACGGTGCTTAAAAGGCTCTACCGGGTTTACTCGCTTAACTGTTTCTTGAGAGCTAGTTATCATCGTCTGTAATGACTGACGGGTTTTTCCCAGTTTAAAAAAAGTATATAGTTAGTTAATATTAATTTGAATAAGACAAAGCCTCAAAGAGAGCTTTTTGACAGAATGTACAATGAATTTCAATATAATGACTAATTAATTAAACCCATCGGCGGCTGCACACTTTTCATACACATTACTACACTTTTAAAACTTACACTTTCGACCGCACAATTCACTCAACACTTCTTCACACTATTATCATGAATCTGAAGGCATGCTGCTTTAACTAATGATATGTTATATAAATTACATATATTTATCACTAGTACATATTAATTTGAACCACATGTCTATGCTGTATCCAATGTTTGACCAATGGCATTGTTTTATGTATAAATGCCGATGACCTAACAAAATTGAGTTGAATTCATATACATGTATATGGATCTATAGAACCTAAGCTATTACCATTATGATATATTTATACAACAGTGTTTCTCCTGATTATTATCTTTATTCATTGGCGATTAATATTTTAATTTTGCATGTTTCCCAACCAATTATCTACCCAAAGGAAAACAAGAAATAACTGATAAAACATTTTAATTATTTAACAGCATATAAAGTGCTTTTCTCACAATCAATGCATATGAATTCTGACATAAGTTGTCGTTTGACGGAACGGAAATTTATTTAACGAGTTCAGATTCACAAAGAAAAAAGTGACAATTATATAACACTTGCGTAATATAATAAAATACGTAAAGATTTTATATTTCATGGAAAATAAAGGGATTCCAGTGATGAAAACATAAATCTAAATATCAAAAATTCAGTCATGCCATAAACGGATGGACATAATTATTGGGATGTCATCTGTACAAGTTTTAATTTGTTTCATAAATATTTATCTTTTTATATCAGCCGACAGTGAAACTGATATATACTTTAATTACGAGCTAGATACAACACCTTGTCTGACACCGGTTGTAGGAATCAGTCTTCAGGATTGTTTAAAGCTTTACGAAAACAACCTGGAAACTACCAACGTTATGGTATACAAGAGAAGATTTCTCCTCTGTCAATTATGTTTTGTCACCAAGGCGCCAATTAAAACGAAAATAGCTGGATGTATATTGGCACATCAACAAATTAATGGTAAAATGTAAAATTATTTACTTACTTTTGATTTTTATTTTTTCCATAACCAACAAAACAAAAGAAAATGATTTTTAAAAATCTTGACCTCATAAGCGACATAAACTGCAAGAGCCCGAGGTTAGATATTTGGTATGCAATATTGTCTAGTGTGTCTTCTTCAAATTATAGTACGAAGGGCAAAATTGGCCTCACACTGGGTCATTGATTTTCCTTGTATGTATTAAGTTGGACCTTAAATTTTCTCCGGTACAGTCAAGAGCTTAGAAATTAGGTCATGACCTCCTTTTTTATATTGTAAGCTACAACTTTAACTTTTGGACTATATGCACACTTTCAGATTAAGAACTGAACATTGACACGAGATGCCCAAAATTTTAAGCTAATGACTTACTTTTTTGTTACTAGAACTACAGTAATGATATTTGGTATGTACATACAGTTTTAGATGCAGAATTCATCTTTGACCGAATTTTGACCACGTGACCGTGTAATGAGAGATTCAGCACTGAAATTTGAAATACAACTATGTTTTAGATGCAGATTTGAACATTGATAAAGATTTTGACAGAGAGATCTACTTAGTAATATGAATAGCTACAGCTACGTAATTTTGACTATGTCCACAATTTAAGATGTTGTTTTGAACTTTGAAATCAGTTGCCCTATATTTGTACCCAATGACATATGTTTTAGCCCATATGACCATTATATGTCTTATACAAGCAGTGTGTCTTCGGTGAGCAATATAGGGCCCAATTTGGTCCTAAATCCTCGATATTCAATAACTTTAAAGATAACAATAACTTTATTAAATAAAGTTATTTATACATCTTTAAAATGTTATAATGGTTACATTTTTACTGTCTTTTAAAGGTAAGAGAGAGGGCATTTGACATTTCATATTCTCATTGTTTTATATGCATGCTGAATTATTTTAGTAATGGGATGTAATAAGTCATTAGTTGAACAACTTTGTTGTTTTCATGACAAGTTGCTTTATATGTTTACAATTATAAATGATATGCGATTTAATAATTTTCTGAATAATACATGAAGTTACAACGCTCATATATACTGTTAGATATTAAGATAAAAGTTATGACGTGTACCATAAATATCAAAGACTTCAATGACTGTTAAGATGAAGCACTTCACAATTTTTTAAAGATTACATATATACAAATATTGATTATCTTTTAAATTAAAGATATGTCCCATAATAATTTGGCAAAACACAAACCTTCCAACCAGAGCTCGACATTACACAGGGCAATCGGAGGCAATGCATCGTCGGATTATGCTGTAGATGGAGTTTGGAATTCAAATATGTTAGATAAAAGTAAAACGCAATTCCAATGCTCACATACTCTCCAAAGAAGTAAACATCACTGGTGGATGGTCAACTTAGAAAAAACAAAACTTGTGAGAAGAATCACAATTTTGAATAGAGGTGATTGTTGCGGTAAGATATCAATATACTTATATATGCTTTCAGAACGTTAATGTGCTTTTTCCTACTTTGTGTTGTTATTTGGATAACAATAAATTTAACCAGAAACATTGACATGTGCTCTATTGTTAACAAAATGGTTGTGTTGAATTCTTATTGTATCCGCTTATCTGAAAAGGGATCCATGCATTGAGACTAAATGTCGGTTAGTACAGGTAACCTGTCTTTAACTCCTATATAGAATAGAAAACTATTCAATACACACCGGGAACAAACATTAATGTCGGTAAAATATCGGTTCATCAATTGCTTTCTAAGCGTATATATGTAACTGACTGACAGTAACTTAACCAGAGCAGCCTACGTAGCCGGGTAGTTAATCTCATTGACTTCGGAACACTTGCAACTCGGACCGTGTGTCTGAATCCAGAGTGCTGTTCAGCAAATTTTTTCATAAATGGATGGTTCTATCATGGTGACCAATACTGAAGTGAATTTGTTTCTTATATCATAGTTTGGTGACATTTTGGTTGAAATTTATATCAGAGTTTATTATAAAACCTTAACATATTCATAAACAGTGCGATAACTGGAGTGCAGAAATCAAATACTTACTGGCACTCCAGAGCATGCCCATTGAATGGCTTATTTTTCTTAGGTTTACTTATTGTGACGAAAGAGAAATGGATAGGAATAGAAATATCATATTCAGATGCTTCTTTAGTGTTTTTTTCCTGGGGTTTCATATTATGACAAAAAACATCAAAACACTCGGCACACCAATCAGATAGCCTCATGTTTCTATGTTCTTTCAGTTACATAATACTCTATCGTATCGCATCAATGTAAAGGTAAGCATCTATATATATTTGGTCCAAAAAGCAAAGCATATCAATATATGGATAAAAGTTTGTTGCGTTACCCTACCGAACGATGCTTAATAGTCTTGAACTCCTATTAAAACTTTGTCATGTTAAAGTCAGAAGTAACATAATTGACGAAAACATAAATGACAACGTTGCAATACATAATGACGTTATTTAATCATATATGTCTGACATCATTTTCTTTACTGCGTTTCCATGTTGCTGTTTAGTAAATGAACCTCTCGCCAAAGAGAGTTTTCATAATTAAAAATTCGTTATACAAATTTCTGATTGCACAAACATACGAATACAGTCTTAACTAATGTTTACATTGATACCTGACGACGACAGCATTATGTTCATACCACAAACGAGCATAAAAATCTTCTGTGAATGATTTATAACATAAGTTATGAATATCAATTGTATATTGTCAGTTTGAATACAGATGTCAATAATCTAATGAAATCTTATTCATGTATATAAAATTACTGTGAAACAATGGTGTCATGTGTGCGTGCTTGTTTTATCTCGAGTTGCAAATAATTTTAGTCGGGCCTAGAGATAAATTAAGTGCAGCACGAATACTTTGACGTTTGGCCCCCATTACTTAGGGTTATGCCACACGAAAGGATGAATTTGTGGCGCACGGATATTATACTATGTCTGCCCACAGTTTAATAAAAAGTTATGGGGAAGCAGTAATTAAGTGGTGAACGCAGCTTACTATGGGTTGTGGCCACGAGTTCCAAGCGGAGCGCACACGAGATACTAGTCCTGGGCCACGAGACTAAGTCGGGGAACAAAGATTTCATTAAAACCAAATCAGATAACAATTTACATATTTATAATAAACATTTAGTTTTTTAAAATTTAAAAATTCCTGGTTTAAGTTTTAACATGGAACAAAATCTTTGAAACATTGGAGGTATTCCCATTTTAAGCTTTAATACAATGTCTTAAATATAAAAGGGAAAACCGATGGGCATTTTTCTAAATAACTATAAAAATTCAAATGTATAGTGTAATCTGATTGGTTGATTATCTCGTGCATACGACTATGGCCATGACATAGTATATCGAGCGTACAATTCCCTTAAGGGCCATGAGTTTTGTTTATAAATAAAAAAAAAAATAAAAAAAATGGAAGCTCGTGGCCACGACATAGTTTCTCGTGCGCACGACCTTGAATATAAAAAGACATCACTGCTCAATACATGATAAAATACTTGAGAATCATGCTTCAGTGTGTTTTTGTTCAATTTTTATAGAATTGATTATGTTTTTAGCGGAACGATTGAACAATGTGACAGTAACTGTTGGGGATGTAGAAGGTCAGATGAAACAGTGTGGAAGATTTATGGGTCCTGGTGGTAAAGGAGAACTTGTCGAAATCTCGTGCTCGACACCGCTCTTCGGACAGTTTGTGAAGATAGAAAAATACAGCGATACTGCTTTAACATTGTGTGAAGTTGGTGTCTATCCATAAAACTTTTTTATCAATAAAAGCATAGCAATTTGTGGTTTTGTTGTGTATTTTGCTGATAATAAGTTTGCTTATTTGATATAATACTCGATGACGTAACTGTTTTGTATCATAGACGCGTGATTTCAGTGAAATATTTACTAAATAAACATTATTTCTAATTTAAAAACACAGTTGATTTTTACTGCAAGAATGAATATTTATAAATGAAATGAGCATATAGTCGTTATACTGTTTATCCATCTATCTTGCTTGAACTTTACTAGGTAAGAGCTTATGTACAACGTCCTCGTTTCCCCTTGTGTGCGCCCTGTCCTGTTTTTCTTTGGGGTCCCATGGACTACTTGCCACTTTATCTTGATGCTGAGTCGTGTGGGGGTTGCGTTTATTGAACGCCGCCTTTCCTTGTTGATCTTGTTTATCATATTTGAAACCGTGAGGACAAGCTCTAATTCTAGGGTTAAAATGGTGTGGCAGTGTGGCAGAAGTTGATTGCAGTTAAAATATATTAAAAGGAGAAAAGAAATAAACTGTTGTTTGTCCAATCAATAACTTTGATAAATAGCACTCTGACAGGCAGGTGAAATAGGGTAAGCATTGTCCTATAGTGCATTTCTAGTTAATTAAGAAAATTCAAATGTATAGTGTAATCTGATTGGCTGATTATCTCGTGCGCACAACCTAACTCGTGGCCATGAGATCTATCTTCGTACGCACCATTAATTAGCTCTTTAACCGTTTTGGTTGAATTTTGGGAATTTAAAACTTTCGAAAGATGTGTCCTATCGGCGGGTTTAACGGAACCTTCAATTTTTGACACTTTTGGGGCCATTCATAATGTTTGACTTCCATGTTAATGCAAGCATGTGTCCTACACGAGACTAGACAGCACACAGATGTTGCTCTAAAGCGAAGTGACGTTGCGCGGAAGCAACAAAACAATTCTTATTTCTTTTTACTTCAAAATTTCACTCTGTTTACTTCTGCTTCAGCCGGTGCTATGGGGCATAACGGTTACTTGCAGATTCCAGTACCGGCCGTGAACAGGTTAGATAAAACTGAACCTGCAATATTTCCAGTTTTGTAATTTTGGGCGTTCTTTAAATATTCCGTTTTTCTCTATTTTATCGTCACGTCGTGATATCGCTGAATCATCTCGTCGCTTTAGTTTTTCGTCGTATCATCGCTTTCTCGTTTCGTGTTTTTGTTTCGGTGATATCGCTATCCATATCCAATGATGTCACTATGCGTACTTGGTTACAGTACAGTTACGTCTCTTTGTATTGTATCGTCGCTTCGATGTATTCCTGAATTACGTCAGTGTATAGTTTCGTCGCTTCGGCGTTTTTGTATTTATTTGGGTAAGTGGTGCGACGAAAAAATGCCCGCAACCTAGCCCGGTAGTTTCGAACATATTAATAAGTAATACAAGTAGACTGTTGGAACAAATTAGAAGATCAAGTCTTTGTCGATTTTTATTATCTGTTTGTTAAGTAATGTAAACAATTATGTAAATGTATACGTTTCTTTCCACTTTTTATTTTAAAGTTAAGAATATAATGAACAGTTCAGAAAATATGAGTGTTCAGTAATTTTATGCACGAGCTTTCAAAAACGCTTTCTGTGTTTTATATTAATTGTTCCATAATTGACCATATCGGTGATTTATTAAATATGGAGTATGCAACAGTCATTTCAAACTCCATTTACACCTAACATGAGACGGCACGTATCGTATTCAAACTGGTAATGCCTTTCTGTCGTTTCTTAAAGAGATTAGTTTTTTGACATGATGGGACTTGCAAAATCTTATCGAGATTTGTGTACCATTTCTTATAGGTTTGAACCAAAAACTTGTTAGCAAATTTTCAAAACTTTCCAGAACGTTTTTCTTCCAGATTTTTTTTCTTGTGCAAAATGATCTAAAAGGTAAAATGTTACAACGCTTTTCACTCAAATCAGACTGATAATTGCACTAACTATTGATTTACGACTTTAATTCTGAGTATATTTGTTTATTTCCCTTTACAAAATTTTATAAATATGTATATTATTGTCATATGGTCGGTGAAAAGTAAAATTATACTCATATAATAGTTAAGCTCACCAAACCAATATTTCTACGGTTTGGTAAGCAGCCACTACATTATTGCGATGTGTGAAGACATGGTTATAAGAAATCAATAATCGAGCGAGTATGTGGAGTCAATTAACTAGGCTCATTTTACATATAAATTCAATACAAACAGTTGAATCAAAATAAATAAATACAGAATCCCTAAAGAAAGCCCAACACAGCAAAACTGAAAATGTTGCAGGCTCTGCTTGATTAAGCCTGTTCATGGATGGTACTGGAAATTGCAAGGTATCGTCCACATCCCCTAACATCGGCTTAAGCAGAATTCAACATATAAACATGAAATAGTAAAATTTTGAATTTAGAAACATCCGCAGATGTGTTCATACGGCGGTTATCATGGAACTTTCAATGTGACACTTCCGTGCCATTCCATGAAAAGTGGCGTATGGTCCCCAAGTAATAAAAAGCGTGTGCCCTAAACGAGAAAACAATGGGCGGAACTAAATAAAATGGAATATTGAAAGGGTTCAGAGCTTATGAAACCTGCGTATCACAGATAAGACGTCAAACGACAAATTTAAAAAGCAGGCAACATATCCTAAGGGTGATTCAACATTATTCAAGTAGGAATATTGGAACAACCCAACTAGAAAATGCCGAAAAGTTGAAACTAAAAATACCACAAGCACAACATAAATGTCGTGCTGAACGATCTTCAAGGATCGAAAATACATTGTATGTGTAAAGCACCGTTTGGTAAATATTTCGGCAAAATCTAAACAAAATAGAGCGATTTAATTGGCAGACAAATTTTGGCGGACTGTAAATATATAGTAAACTCAAATAAAATACATATCAAATTAATACAGAAATGCGCTGCAACAAGTATTTTAAGATATAAAGGACTGTTTAGTTGAGTAAGTGAAATTTTATCAACTTAATCGGTAAATCAAAATATAATTATGCATAAAAGATTTTGAATGAAATACAATTTAAAAATCCTTTCTTCTAATTATCTGACATCTTTAAATAAATATATATATATAAATACATCTTGCAGTTAAAACAAAAAGAAAAAACAATCTTTATAAATCTTTACGTTACTATCTTATAATATTTTTATCCATGTATTTGTTAAATTATTTGGAACTTAAAATTGTATGAATGATATGTAATATCTTAAAGGTGTGTTGACAAACAAATTAAATTATGTTTCTTAAAGGACCAAATTAAAATTGACACAATGGAATAGTTGTTATTGTTTGGTGATGTTGTTTTTTGTGTGTGTTTTTAAATGTAAATTTAAAGTTAAGATATATTATTTGTTCTTTACGATGGTAAATTTTCATGTGTTACTTTCTTTAAATAAAGATATCATCATCATTAGCATTATTATTATCATTATTGTTTTATTATTAAGAAATTTTAATCAAATACGTTTAGATATATTCAATTTAAATCGAATAATGAGACAGGAAACATATCCACACATATATAGTGGGCGGGAAATTGAGAAAATAGTGCAAATGGTGATACAAATATGATACTTTTAGGAAATTATCTTTAGACCATGTAGATTTCAAAAATGAAGTGGGCCGAAAAATATTTCTGCTCATTCAAGATGGCCACCATTTTTAAATGGCCGTTTTATAAATTAACATTTCATTCAGACAAAATTCGTGTAAAGACCTTAAACTTTCGCTTAAACATGTTTAATGTTTCTCCTTTACAAAAACTTAAATCTCTAAGATATTCCGCTTTCATACCTCTTCAGAAGTCATGATAGCGCCCAATATAGCCGCCGATTTCATGTAAAACTGATACATCTCTTTTGTAGCATAATTTGAATCACATATTTTGAATTTTTCGATAAGACAAAATATTTAAACGTATAGAAAACAATCAAATTATGTGAAAATCAAATTGTAAGTAAAGCTTTTTAAGTTTGTCTTTCAAAATAAAAAATATTTTTGAAAAATATTAAAGGAAAAGTGACAATATTTGCACTTTTCTCTAACATGGTTTTCTCATAGGTCTACATGTATGTTCAAAATTTAAAAAAAGTTACTTAGTTTCTCATAGTGTTAAACTTAAGCTTAAGCATGTATAAAGTGCCCTTTACAAAATTTAAATCTTACAATATTCCGCATTCATACCTCTTCATAATCCAAGATGGCATCCATTTTATGCAAAACTGATATATCAGCTATAGGAATGGTTCGATTTAAAGAAAACAAAATATCACATCATAATTCTTTATATCAATTTCTTCACAAATTAAATTAACATAATTTATGTTGAAACATATGTAAAAATTCCATTTTTTATATAAAACTACATGTATCACATAACTGTTCAATCATCCCTCTCAAAGACAATGGCCACATCTCATTCTTTGAGTTCTATAACTATTCTTCTATCTATACTTTTTCTTTACTATAATTCTTGAATATCAATAAGTAGAAAATATTTGTTTATACTTAAAATCGAGCTTTTCTTCTTTCTTCTTCTTCTTCTAGTACCCTCTTTATATAAAGCACACATTAATAGTAACTCTCACTTTTTCCGTCGTTTGTTGTATTTTCATTTCTTATCTCATTTTTTCTATGTGTAATAATGCAATTATTTCATGTTAGTAACTGGTGTACCTGTACGTGTTGTTACATTATTATTGGCTTTATTTTTACAATTAACAGGAAAAAATCTACGTAAGTCTTTGGATTCCTTTTCAATCCTGTTTTATATAATTTTGTTGTATCATAACTGTATATGACTTTATTATAATTCTTTAAATTTTACTACGATTCACATACAATAATTTTAATACAAACATTTTAAAATATTAAGATATCACGATGTATGACATAGTTCCAACCAAACTTATTTGCGTTTCTAAAAGGAACAACGGCGACATCTTATTTTTGGAAAATTAACAATAAATGAGAGTCTGATCAATTGATAGTTAAGCTTTAACATTGTAATCTGCGTACTCTTGTTCTTTAATGCATTTTTTTATTTGTTTATTTCGAATTATCAGATAAAAATGAAGAATTATAACAACATCAATTATTGTTTATTTTTCATTTGTCAAATATAAAGCATGCATATTTTATGTACTCTCCGTTGTATGGATATTAACTCTGATTGAATTTGTCATCCAAAGAACATCTAACGGTCTTACTTAAATCAATTTGTTAGGGATGTTATTTTTAGCGAAAGTTTGTATCTTATTGATTACCTTATTGGCATAGATGCTAACTTCTGCATCAATTCAGTTTTCCTGTACAAAGTTATTTATATCTTCACGTAATGCTTCATAGTCAGCATGTTCATATACCCAAACTATGCCAAAACACCTTTGTTGCGGAGAACCGCTAAAGCCGGTTCTAGGGTGCGTAAGGGATGTTGCACGTAGTCATTATTCCTCATATACAGACTCAAACAAATCGAGTCAGTAATTCTGTTGTAATTTTCTTGTGATTAATGCTTCCGAGAGATCACATTGTTTCCAGATTTTTATGCTTCACAACAGCAGGTGTAAAGTGCTGTGTGGCAGCTGTAAAAAGTTTCCCCGTACTTCAAAATTGCAAAATTTTACTTAATAAAGGACAATAACTCTACAAATACTACATAAATCCACACGAAAATACCTAGGTACACAACTACACATGCTGATCAACATTCCTGTAAAGTGTCATGACTCTAGGTCAAATACCTTTTTAGTTACGTGCAATACAAGTTGAAAATTGAAAATTTTTACAAAGTCAAAGGCAATAACTCTAAAAATACTAAATAAATCCACACGAAAATATCCAGGTGCATAACTGCACATCTGATTAACATTCCTCTTAAGTTAAATGACTCTTTGACAAATACTTTTTGAGTTACATGCGACACAAAAGCAAACGACGGACAGATGGACGGACAAGAGTAAATCTAAATGCCCCCACCTTTAAGTGGAGGCACACAACTATTAGCGGTAATTTGTATGTTTCTATAAACGCTAGTGATGAATGTTATTACCTTTCTTGAAGTAAATCTGACGATCAACAGCTTTTTGAGTATAGTCAATAATGCATAGAACAACATAAAATGGGTTACTACATATAAATTCAAAAAAAAATAAAACATGAAAAGAAATTGGAAAATGAAGTGACATATTTATTTGTATGATTTCATGAACGCTTCGCAAGTGTTCACTTTGATATAAGACTTATGAGAAAGCATTTATAGCTAGTAAACACTTTTGCAAAGCCAATAATGACAACTTGTTTGTACAAGGGCCAGAAAATGACACGTATTCAGAGTGATGAACAAATAATAGGAAATGTGGATATAAGACTGATAAAAAAGCATAGAGAAAGGAAAACAAAACAACAGGAACGTACTAGTATCATTAGTAACTAATGTATAGGAAGATACATTTATGAAGTATATAAGAAGTAATTTGTTGTTTGAAATGATAGCCTAAAGAAATCCTAAAGAAAGCCCAACACGGCAAAAATAAAAATGTTGCAGGCTCAGTTTGATTAAGCAAGGGCAAGTCTGTAAAATATTTAGCAGGATAGATTCAGGTAAGTATGAAGGTATTTTATATTTTGATCAAAAATGAGGACAGGATGTGTTAATTCGATGAGGTAAGTGTGTAAAATTATTAAGATGGTCAAGTAATGAACGTTCCAGGAAAGTATATACATGTAGTGTGGTTATTGCTGATTCAGAATAAAATATGTTGAAGTATGTATGCAAGACAATAGTCGTGACTAATATATTGGAGTATTATGTAATCAAATTTATCTTAATCTAAAATGACAACTAATGAGGGAAGTATAAAAGTTTGACTTAATCTAAAAAGTGTGTCTTTGGGGTATGTTGCGTTGTTTGTTTATGATAAGTTATTTTATATATAAGGTAATTTTATAAGTAGGTTTTGATTCATGAAAACTGTAAGTTGTTGATTTAGTTGTATCTTATATTGAAAACTAAAGTGACAGGTCATATAAAGAAGTTGCTTTAACAATGTCGTCAAAGGACGTTATATTTGGGTCATTGTTTTTTCGCATTGGTGACCTCTAATACATATTAAACACCGAAGCGACGAGACGATAGGGCTAAGTGAAGGGACGATGCGAAAACGCGAAATAAGGTCGTGCTCTTACATCGTGTCGTTTTTTTAAATCATGGTTTTATTGTCTTATTGTCACTTCGCTTGGATGCATCGTCTCGTAATGTCATCGCCTTAACATATTATCGCTTAAGCGAATCGACACTTCGCTTTATTAATCATCATCTATGTACCATTTCGTTTCGTCAATTGTTTTCTCGTCTAGGGCACACGCTTTCTTTTACAATACTCCACATTTTATGGAATGTCAAGATGTTGTAACATGAAATGTTTCGCTACATGAATACATCTGCAAAGTTTTCTAAATAACAACTTTCAGTATTTTCGTGTTTAAATGTGAAATTCTGCTTAAGCCGGTGCTAGACGGTAGACGGTAACTAATACTGTCCATGAACAGGATAAATCAATCCAAGCTTGCAATATTTTCAATTTTGTCATTTTGAGCAATTTTTAGAAATTATATTTTCTCTATTTTACTGTTTCGTCGTGATATCACTTAATTATCCTGTCATTTCAGCGTATCCGCGGCTCGAGTATCGTCGCTTTTTTGGATGTATTGTTGGATTATAAACATTTCGGAGCATATAAAAGCATATAAAATTTGATGCTAGAGCTTTGAAAAATATTTTTGTGTTTTATCTAAAATGTTCCATTCATTTCAAGCTTCGTTTCATCTTTCAATGTGACATTTAAAATGGATTACCAGTTGACCACTAACTTGGTTTTTGACACGATTGGGCTTTAAATATGTGTCAAAGATTGAACCATTTCTTATAGTTTGAATTCAATAAATTGATAACAAATTTTAAAATCATTCCCGTGCGTTTCTATTTATATATTTGTTATTGTGCAAAATGACCCCAAAATATTTTTTTAACTTACATCAGGCTGATAATTGCACTTATTGATGATTTTGAATTTCATTCTGAGTACTTTTGGCAATTTTTTCAAAAGTATTTAACTTGATTTTTGGTAAAATTTAAAAGTTTATGATTTTAGACGTTTAGACCTCAGCGTGACTCCTTAAAAAAGAATATCGATATAAATAAAATGGTTGGTGAAAAGACAGAATAAAATTCTACTCATATAATAGTCAAGCTCATTCAACCCAACCAGTATTTCTACGGTTTGGTAAGCAGGCACTTCATTATTGCGATGTATATATACGATAAACTCACATGAATACATTTCAAATCAATAGAGAAATGTGTTGCAATGAGTATATCTGAAATATAACGGACTGCTAACTTTAGTAAGTAAATTTAATCGGTGAAATTCGAAAATGATAATATAATTTTGCTTTAAAATAATTTTCAGATTTTTTTTTTAGGCTGAAATATATTTTATTTTCTATCTCTCTATTTGTCATAAGGGTTACCAAATAATTGCATTTTGATGTTGAACATAAAATAGTTAATAATAGTGTAATAGCTGATACGTCTCTCAACTTATTTGATATCACCAACACATGTAACAATGGAGGTGTACGGAATTATCGGATTCTCATTGTCTTTCTTTTGTTAAGTTTCATTTGGGTTCTTCAAGTCGAACGTATCGTTATGCTATAACATAAAGGTAACAATATAAAATCAGCATGTCATAGTGATACTAAAACAACGCACAAGCTATAGTTAAATGCATTTTCTTATAATTGTGCAAAGATTTGTAAAAGAATACCTTTTAAAATCCATTCTTTTAATTTTCTGACATTCTGAAACAATACAAATATAAAAGCATTTCTTGCAGATCAAATGAATATCTTTATAACCCTGTCATTGTGTTACTATGTTATAATATTTATTATGCATGTATATTTGTTAAATTATTTCTTAATTAAAAGTGTATGAATATTATGTAATATCTAAAAGGTGTTTGTAAAAAAAATCAAATTATGTCTGTTATAGGACCTAATTATTATTGACGCGTTGATATTGTTTGGTTATTTGTTGTGTGTGTGTGTGTGTGTGTGTGCGTGCGTGCATGCGTGTGTGTGCGTGTGTTTGTGTGTGTATGCGCGCGTGCGTGTATGTGTGTATATGTATGTGTTTATGAGAGCGCGCGTGTGCGTGTGTATTTGTAGATATGTATAAGTGAATATATGTTATTTGTTCTTTACCATGGTATATCTAAAGATAACGATTTTTATCATTGGTATTATTATTATTATTAAAATTGTACTTATTATAAAGCTATTTTAGTCAAATATTTTAATGCATGTATATTCAATTTGAATGGGAACCATATTGAGATAGGAATCATATCCACACATGAAACAGCGAGCACTACAGTAACTCCAGTATCTTCAAAAGTGATGGTTTTGAATTTTCTTTTTCGGAAGTACATCAAAATTTTAGTTGATAATTTTGTCTGCTCTTCATTTAAGGTTAATTTGGTAAACTATCCAGTTTTTTTTTAAGCAAACCGGACATCAGTACCAGCAGGTCACTTCGCTATTACTTTTCGAAGCACACCTAGGATCAGTTTTTTTTCTGGTTTCATGTCTTATTATGGATCCAATTCAAGTTGAGATTCGAAACCCCTTGCCGCTTATCATCAATTCAAACACAACGTTTTGCAAAAAAACTTTTCCTGTAATGCGACTCATCGCGTGTATACAATCATCAAAAAGTACGTAAGTTTTGACTGATTCAAGTAAATGTTTATGCTGTTCATGTTTTGATCAATTACAGTCTAATTAATTACCTAAATAAGCAACTTATTAATAAAATACAGAATAACAGGAATAGACACCAAGTCAATATTAAATTATGGTATGTTCCTGTTTTACTTTTTCCCTTTCCCGAAATGGAGTTATTAATCCCGAAATTTGATATTAAGTGAATGTATGTACTACGACAGATGGATTCAATTGAGACACCTTTTTTGTGTACTGGTTCTAATGATTTAGGCTTTAAATGAGATTCATAAAGTTCAAATGATGTCTGCTGACATTTAATAATCCTGTCTGATATGCAAGAAAACGCGCTAAGCGACAAGATGAAGACAAGACGCTATGCGGCAAGACGAAGAGTTACATTAAGCGACACGACAAAGAGAACATGCTATGCAACAAGATGAAGACAACACGCTACTCGGCAAGATAAAGACAACACACTTTATGACACGACGAAGACAATACACTAAGCGATAGGACGAAGATTACACATTACTTGACACGACGAAGGTAACACACTACACAACATTACGAAGGCAACACAAAACATCATACTACGCGACACGACGAAGTCAACACGCTGCACGACACAACAAAAAACAGCACATTTCGCTTCAGGATAAAGACAACACACTACGCAACACGACAAAGGCAACATGCTACACGACACAACAAAGGCAATATGCTACGCGACACGACGAAGGCAACATGCTACGCGACACGACGAAGACAACACACTAAGCATCACGACGAAGACTATACACAGCGCGTCACAGCAAAGAGTACAAACTATGGGTCACGACGAAGAGTACTACTCGACACGACGTAGTCAACATACTATGCAACACGACCAGGGCAAAAACAAATTAATTTCTTTTATTGTTATATTTTCAACGAATCAGTCTTAACAAATTTTATAAGCGGAGTAACATCATAAAAGTTAATGATTCATATGAAACCGTTATAACATTACATACGATTACATCACTAACTATAATTGTTGTTATATGATCCGAATACGACCATCCTAAGCAACTTTATTGGACGTGTCTTACTGCACCAACTGTTAATAATATAGGATTTCACATCCATAAACCTTCAACTATAAATGAAATTTCTGAGTACGTTTTTGTTCCCCTATCCGTACTTTTGATAGATTTTTTTTATAATTTCTTTCTTTGAATGTTTAATAAGCAGAATATAAATTACAAAAATATAATATTAAGTTCAAAATAATCACTACATGATTTTTGTAGTAAACGTATTATATAGTTTGTTGTGCATTAAAATGACTTATATAGTATATCACTTTTATGAGAAATTTATCCGAGACTGACCGACGTATTTGTTGTTTTTTTTACATTACTAAGAATTATTACTTTTAGTAATTTACTTTTCTAAAAAGGATACAAATATCTTTATTATCGTTTTTTTATTGTTTTAACATCGTGGGTTTGATAATGCTTAAACTAAATACATAATCTACTAGTATCTTGTATTTGCTTGTTTAAGAAGTGTAATAAAGAGTAAAGACTTCCAAACGAAATATCATACTTATATGAAGACATTGATGTTGCCGTTTTCGAACTTCCGAAACAGTGATAGATTTTTAAACACAAGATAGCTATCGCGATGTGGTTAGAAAAATATACGATTTAAATATGCGTGGTAAAAATGAGAAAATAAGTATCACTAAAGAAAGTCCAACATGGCAAAAATGAAAATGTTACAGGCTCTGTTGGTTGAGCCTGTGACACAATGCGACATATTTATTTCTTTAGAGGTGACCATGACCTAGCATTGAAACTGACGTATGATAATTATGTTGAACCTATTATTAATTTTTACTTATTTAATTAAACAAAATTTCGAGAATCTAACACGAGTAAAATTAGTAAGAATAACTATTTTGTATCGGCAATGTCCCATGACGTCATTAAAGGGCAAGAATTTGAATCTGTTTTTAATTGAAAGGGTCTCTTCACATTTTTGTGACATGCCAAGTAGATATTATGCATGTAATACATTATTGCAATCCCACAAATTCTTAAAGATACTTGTATGATACTTTTTCCTATTATATGTTTTCAGATTTTAAACCAAAGAAATAATGTTTCCCGGAAAGAAGCAACCGATTGTCTATATCTCCCGTAGTGATTGTTTCAGCGCATGCCATCGTCTTCATTCAAAAGAACTCTCCGCCGAGGAAAATCAGAAAATATTTGGTAAATGTAATAATCCAAACGGACATGGTCATAACTATAAAGTCGATGTGACTCTTCGTGGTCCTGTTGACCCTGTGACCGGAATGGTGCTTAATCTTACAGATCTGAAAGCTTGCATGGAAAAAGCGTTTATGTCAACGCTTGATCATAAAAATTTGGATTTAGACGTGGACTATTTTAAAGATAAAGTCAGCACAGCAGAGAATATTGCAGTGTATATTTGGGAGAGAATGGCTGAACAACTTACACCTGGACTTTTATATGAGGTCAAAGTGCATGAAACTGAAAAGAATATTACTAGTTATAGAGGTGAACAGTCAGAATAACGTGTGTCAACTCATGTTTGATGTCACAAAAGTAACAGGAAACTGTGCGATTAAGTACACATCGCAGCTGTAACGAAATAATTTGGCACTTGCTAAAACCATAAAGTTAAGACGGCATCAGTTAGGTTACCTGTCACTCCTGTCCACCAATCCGCACACCAACTTTTTACCAAGCTGTTAATTTATCTATAGATATGCATTGTCGTCATTGTACTTATTTTACTACCAGTGTAAACTTATAATCGTCAAACGCAGCATTCTTTTATATTGTCTGATTAAATAGATTTTGAAGGTAACTTTATTTGTTACGAAAAAATTTATATGTCAAGGATATAAAAACACATAAATATAAAATATAGAAAGTCATAAAACTATTTCTACATCAGTAATCAATCGTGTATTTTAAACTTTTTGAAAACATGATCATTTCATTATTTGGATTTTAACAGAATTTAGACAAGCATTAAATATATTCTTCGTAATTCAAATTTGATTTTATGAGTTTTCATATTTTATGATTATAGTTTGTAAGTATTGATGTAATAACTGATCTGTCACGCCACATTTAAGTCTGACGGTTAATAGTTATCAATGGTTGCGTTGTCTCTCATTTTTTGTGTGTTGAACATGAACAAAAATTGTAATGTATTAAAGTACGAATGCCTCATAAATTGTGTACTCTTAGTATACCAAACTGTCGATTTTCAAGGTGACTGTCTTGTTAGTAAAGAATTATAGAATATGATAAACAAGATCAACAAGGAAATGTGGCGTTCAATGAACGCAACCCCCACTCGACTTAGCAACAAGAAGTTTAGCAATTCAATCTTTAAAATGTTTCAATTTTAATTACAAAACAATGAGCAATGAGCATATCGTAATGGTGTTAGAGTAATGTCTACAATCTTAATAGGAATAGACGTTTTGAAATAATATACATTTCATACAGTAATCAACCATGCCTGGAAAAAACATATAATACGTTTCGCAGTTGTGTTGAATAATGAAATAATTGGTTACTATGTATTTATCGTACATAAAATGGTTTGAAATAATCAATTATATCTGTCGCTGATTTCTATGAAATTATTTAATTATTCATTATTTGTAACTTTTAAAAACAAAATATAATACAGCAGAGTTGAAGTAAAATAAAGTGATTTATTTCTTCTTTTTGTAGTCCCCGGAAGTAAAATAAGTCATATCAGGGGACGTAATCAACGCATCACTAAGGGAGATAACATAGTTACGGGAAAGGGCTATACTAGTAAACAAGTACTTTTATGGAAAAATGAACAAAGTTAAGGTAAAATGATTTTTATTCCTGCCTTAAACTTAAAGTCATGTTAAGTTCACCCCTGTCTACAGGATGTATTTACCCGTCCCACTTTCAGCACCATCAGTTTTGGTCAGAGTTAATATGGTTATGGTACAGTGCATACCGAACTTTATTTTTATATAAATACAACCTTGGACACCTGCATCTTGGAATCAACGTCTTATAGCTGCGACAAGGCAACTGTCTCACAGCTTTGTGCTTATTTGTTTGTGACCTGAAGGCAAACGTGCATTTGCGAGATGCTACGAAATTGAAATGTTTGTAAGAATATCAATGAATACTAATTAATTTACTGTATTTTTCTTTCCATAATTTTTTCGCGAGAAAAGGTCCTTGCAATTCAGTAAAATAGCGATAAATGAATGTTTTGCCTAAAAAGCAAAGATAATGAGCTGATATGCAATTTGTATGACGTTATATTCTAAAAGCTTCTGGCAGATCGTTAACACAGGCAATGGATAATCTGTTTTTAAAGACGTAGAAATTTACTTGCTTGTTTTCACATTACATTTATCAAGGCAAATCTGTGGAACGAATTCATATGAATTTCTGTAAATGTATATTGGGAGTTAAAAAGAATATACAGAATGGTTTTATTTATGGGAAGTTGGGAAGATTGCCTTTGTAAAATATGCGATATTATATTTCTGGATCAAGTTGTTACAATCAGATGAAAACAAGTATAGTAGAAAAATATAAATTATTTCTTAAACTAGATATCACAGATAATCCTTCCAGAAAAAATCGGTGCTTATTGTTAAGAGATTTATTATGTATACGTGGTTTTAATGAAGTTTGGCTTTTCCAAAGTAATGGTGATCCTAAATTGTTCTTTATAAATGTTAAGCAAAGACTTAAAGATCAGTTTTTACCAAATTGGTCTGGTAGATTAAATGACTTTAGCAGAGCAATCTCTCTCTTGCAGGTATATATCAAACCATAGATTTCAACCATACTTTAATTTTTTAAGTGTACGAAAATTGCGTGTATGTATGTCTCGCCTGCGAGTTTGCTCGCATAGGCTTTTTATTGAAACAGGTCGGTGAACAAGACCTAAAAATACACATATAAATGAAAGGAAATGTATTTTTGTGACAAGTTAGAAGATGAATATCATTTTGTTCTGGAATGTACTTTTTACAGTGATTTGAGGATTTAAGGAAACTTTCTATACCAAATTATTATGTTAATCGCTCAAATATGCAAAAATTTATTGATTTAATGAATTCAGAAAATAAACGAATTGCGAAAAATCTAAGTATGTACATTGAAAAAGCTGTTACATGAAGAGCAAGTCAGTTATATATTAATAATAATATGTGAAAAGTCATATTTGAAAAAATTATATTTGTAAGTACATGTGATACTATTTTCATCAAGTGTTTTATTGTTATTCTTATCCTTGTGAAATAGTCATGCATATGGATATATACGAGTATAGTTATTTCTTGCTAAAAGAAAAATGTATCCACATGTCACATTTTGTTACTTTCGTTTTCGAACTAAATGTTCCCTTTTTGTTTACTTAAAATAACCAATAATGTGTAAATTTGATACTCGTACTTGTGATACATGTACCTTGGCCTCCATATTTGTATATACATTCAATCAGGCACATGTATATACATGTAATGGTGGTAGTTCCACGTTACTCGAATTCCGTTTGTCTCGAAGTTAAATGCCCAGTCCCTTGGATTTCGAGTTACCGAGAGTCAACTGTATGTTTTGCTACATGGATCTAAGACCTTCTGGATGAATTGTGAATAAACTTTTACACTTGTAAACATAATTACGTTGTAACGATTAATCAGTGATAAATACTTGGTAAAAATATATTCACACATATCACTCGATATACCTAATTTTCATATGTAGGTATTCGTAGATTTTACAGTAATACTCTCGTATTATTTCATTACATTCGGTATAAATGCGATTATGTGTTTAATTGTCATGTTTCTCCGTCGGGGAAGCAAACTGTGATTTTACCCTTCAATCATTTTCGGTTATAAGATTTTAGGTTTTATATAGAACATAACAGAGCATATACTTTATTTCTAAAATGGGCGCAAAACATACCATTATATTATTGAATCATAGTTTGGGGACCTTTTTGTTTAAAATGTGTCAGAGTTAAATCGTATACGTATACATGCACAGTGCGTTAACTGCAGTACAGGTATTAGTTACCCGCACTCCAGAGCATACCCATTGATTGGCTCATTTTTGCTTGGGCTTACTTATTGTGACGGAAGAGAAAGGAAAAGCGACAGAAATATCATATTCAGATGCTCGTTCATTGGATACTTTTTCCCGGGGTGTCATATTGTGACAACAGGGAACGTGTTTTTATGTTTGACTATGATACAAAAGAGAAAGAACATCAAGACACTCAGCAATCCGATTAATACTCGGCGGCTACGCCTCCTCTTACAAATCAGATAGCCTCGTGTTTCGATGCTCTTTCTATTACATATACATATACATATTTCAAAGCATGCATCAAGAAATCACGTAATAATAAATAATATATGTTATTTAAGTTCTGAGAATAAACATACACTTACAGTTCTGATAACAAATATACATTTACAGTTCTGTTAATAAACATACATATTTACAGTTCTGATAATAAACATACATTTACAGTTCTGTCAATAAACATACATTTACAGTTCAGATAATAAACATACATTTACAGTTCTGGCAACAATTATACAAGAGCGGTTCTATTATTTTACAATAAGGGTCTGGCTATATGCATACAATTATAGTTTTGACCGTAACAAACAACAAAAATAGTACAGCCTATATTCATACAAATACAACACCATTGATCATTTAGGAGAAACTTTCAAAACATATACTAACGAAATAGCGAACATCACAGACTATGATGTGCCGGGTGGTCTTTAGCTGCAGTGGTCGCATAGATAGAATCAGTAACCGCCTGCAGGGTAAGGGTTAAAGATAAATATTAATATAATACACAGAAATATGGCAATTTCATTGATGTTGCTTCATCAATGTGGAAAATATAGTCGGCAATTGTTCTGTGATCATCATCATCGTCCATATATTCAAGTACTTACATTAGCGACATGTTTTCTGCATACATGTTTTGTAAATACAAAAATTGTGCTGCCATCAGTATAGAGCCTGGGTAGACTGTACAGAAAAGGAAAATATTTCTGCTCGAGCATGGTAAGGACTGAAATCAGTTAAAAAGAAAATGACATGAAATCCAGGCGTCTACAAAGTACAGCGAGCTTGGTGTTTGGAAATGAATTTTAAAAATAAATGCATAACACTTTTACATGGATTCTGTATTGAAATTGTCAGTTAAAAAGAACAAATAATATGATTCTCGTGGACTGTTTGAGCTTTGTTTTGCCTCTCCGAATTGTAAACGAGGACAGGAACAAGATAGGAATGCATATTAGAGATATGATTTACAATATAATAAGAAAGTCAGACAGTCTGCTATCTAAATTGCAAATTTATATTAGGGATATGGACTCATTCTCATTTTATGTTTTTCTCGTGTATAATATTCAGTAGATTTGCACAGCATTATACAAAACATGTAAATGACTTTTGACAGCATCGTTAAAAGCTCATTTAAAGGGCACCACTGACATTCAATATATACTGTTTTGCAATGTGTAACTTTGCATAATTTATAACAATACTTTGACGTTACGAAAATATCCGATAATAAAAGAGATGATATAACAGGCACTATTTAGTTTCTTATCCACTAATGTATCTCGTGATCAGCTTGATACTAAGTACTGGTGTACAAACTGAAATTACATGAATTATTTTTGTTCCGTTTATAAAACGTAAAAGCTTTATTCCTTCAATTCAATTGCTATGGCGACGACTGAGTGTTTATCTGGAGAAGGTATTATTCGAATCAATATTTGTGGAACTATTTTTGAATGTCATTCTAAAACGTTAAAATTCAATCTGGAAACAGTTAATTAATAATTATCTACTACACAAACTTTTCTATCTCCAACGTTACAGGGGTTAAACCCCTCTTTTTCAAGGAGTTTCTGTTTATTTTTATAAATCATATATTTATCTTCTTAATGTCTTATTTTAAACTATGTTATGCATACAGGAAATAACGTCGTAGTGTTTGACTGCATTGTGTCGCGTAGAGTGTTGTCTTCGTCGTGTCGTGTAGTGTAGTGTGTATCTTTATCTTGTCGCGTAGCGTGTTGTCTTCATCCAGTTGCATAGCGGGTTTTCTTCGTCATTTGGCGTAGCGTGTTGCGTTACTTGTCGGCAACTCGTTTTCTTGCATACCAGACGGATATTTTGTGAGGTTATCAGACATCTTCAGTGTTTAGAATGTTTTCTGGCGTCATCCTTTTTTGCATATCAAATTGAAATTAATGAATGTCAATTAAAGCCTAAAATCATCAGAACCAGTCTTTAAAAATTTTGATGCGCATGCTCCGCTTCACAATACTTTACTAAAACGAAAAATTAAGATCGAGGTGAACAAAGAGGTAAAAGGAAAAATCGAAAAATACTGTTTACGTTATATTTAACACTACGAAGAGTTGTTCATTCTGTTTTTAATCAAACAAACTGTAAAATTATGATTTACCGCTTTTTGAATAGAGATTTATTAGTTCCTGTTTCGAAAAAATAGTAACACTATAGTTACAATATCACCAGGCACTATTATATGACCGAGTGAACCGTGTACCGAAAATTTGCTGCTCCATCATATTTCAAAATACCTTGCAAATTATTCCTAGTTAGAGCTTAGCTTAACCGGATACTGACGGAAATAGCCGATATGTTGCGATCTTTCGCAGATGTAATCGACCAATCAGAAATTCTTACTTTCCCGCCATTTGAACAATTAAACAATTCTTCCACAGCTGCTATAAGACTTCTCGTAGTTTTCTTTCTACAGGTTTAAAACGATGCTGAAAACCTGTCTGACAACCTTATGTAAGAATGCATAAATTGCGTTCTTAGGATTGCCTGAATCAGAGACATTGGTAACATCTCTGCCTTAATGAATGAGTTGTAAAATTCATCTGCTACGATAAGAAACAGGCTGACATTATCACAATAAAACGCCCGTCACAAAAGCTTTAGGTGGAGATGTTAGAGCGATAAGAAGTATAGCAAGCAAGTTTGTCACTTTATATATTTTCATAATTTTATCTGAAGTTTTACCTCTATATTTGACCTTGACCTTGGCTGGAGGGACCTGAATATTTTGCATACAATGAGAAAAATGTGTGCAAAAGTTTTATTTAAATTCCCCAATGCATGTAGAAATTTCAAAGCTATATAAGTGTGACCTTGACCTTTGACCTAAAGACCTGTTTCATGCACAAGGCACTTCGTTCCAACGTTCCATGTGGGTTAACAAGTCTATAAAGCAACATTAAAATTCCTCCATGCATGTAGGAGATATGCTCTGGACAATATCTGTATATTTTATTATCTTTACTCACTATGACCTTGCATTTATTGACCTAGAGACCTTTGCCATGTGTGGGGCAATATGTCTCATGGTTGTGAACGTTTCTATAATGTTTAATAAATAAATATAATGCATGTGGGAGATATTGACTTCTGTCAAAGTGTTCTCTTTAAGGCTTCGTTTTATTATTATTATAATTATAATTATAATCATAAGTAATGATGATGATGATGATGACGATGATGATGATGATGATGATGATGATGATGATAATAATAATAATAATAATAATAATAATAATGTTTATTTTCAGATTTTTATATTACACGACAAGAGAAATACTATAAGGATCTTACAACGTCTGACGGTACAAACCGGAATATCTTGCATGAGGGTTACTGTGTACGGTGTTAACGAGGCTCTACCGAGTTAATATAAAACTGTTACTCGAGAGGTAGTCATCATCGTTTGTAATGACAGACGGTTTTTCCCAGTTTTAAACTATGTAAAAAGTATATAGTTTATTAATATAAATTTGAATAAGGGAAAGCCTCAAAGCGAGCTTTTTGACATAATTTATAGTGAATTTCAATATTATGTCCAATTTATTAAACCCATCGGCGGCTGCACACTTTTCATACACATTACTTCTCACTTAAAACTACGCATTTTCGGTCGCACAATTCATTCAACACTACTTCACACTATTATCATGAATCTGGAGGCATGCTGCCTTAATTGATGATATGTTATATAAATTACATATATTTTATTACCAGTACATATTAATTTGTAATATATGAACTCTTACCTTGAACTCTTGAACATGATTTTGATTATGTTGTTTCCACATGTCCATGCTGTATCGATTGTTTGACCAATGGCATTGTTTTATGTATAAATGCCGATTGCCTAAGTTGAGTTGAATTGACATATACGGTTCTATAAAACTTAAGCTATTACTATTATGATATATTTATACAACAGTGTTTCTCCTGATTGTTATCTTTATTCATTGGCGATAAATATTTTAATTTTACATGTTTCCCAACCAATTATCTACCCAAACGAAAACAAGAAATAACTGATAAAACATTTTAATTATTCAAACAGCATGTAAAGTGCTTTTCTCACAATCAATACATATGAATTCTGACATTAGTTGTCGTTTGACGGAACGGAATTTATGAAACGAGTTCAGATGAACATTCGATTAACAAAGAAAAAAGTGACCATTATATAACACTTGCGTAATGTAATAAAAAAACGTAAAGATTTTATATTTCATGGAAAACAAAGGTTTTCCAGTGTTTGAAAACATAAATCTCAATATAAAAAATTCAGTTATGCAATAAACGGATGAACATAATGATCGGGATGTCGTCCATTCGTGTTTTGATTTGTTTCATGAATATTTGTAATTTTATATCAGCGGATAGTGAACCTGAGATTTACTTTAATTACGAGCTAGATACAACACCTTGCCTGACACCTGTAACAGGATACAGTCTTCAGGATTGTTTAAAGCTTTACGAAAACAACCTGGAAACTACCAACGTTATGGTCTACAAGAGAAGATTTCTCCTCTGTCAATTATGTTTTGTCACCAAGGCGCCAATGAAAACGAAAACACCTGGATGTATATTGGCACATAAACAAATTAATGGTAAAATGCAAAATTATTTACTTACTTTTTTTTCCATAACAAACAAAAACAAAAAATAGAAAGAACTTTGAAAAACCTTGTTCTCATAAGCGACATAAACCGCAAAAGTCCGAGGTTAGATATTTGGTGTGTAATCTTCCTCAAATTAAGGTCAAAATTGGCCTCACCCTAGGTCATTGACTTTCCTTGTATGGATTAAGTTGGAACTTAACTCTTCTCCAGCACAGTCAGGAGCTTAGATATTCTGTCATGACCTCGTGAGCTACCTAAAAGTATTCAAAGCTACATCTATGAAATTAAGACTAGCTGTACATTTGCAGATGCAAAATAGAACTCAGCTGACTTTAGATTTTGATCCACTGACTTCCTTTTTATATTTTAAGCTACAACTTTAAATTTTGGACTATATGCAGACTTTCAGATTTAGAACTGAACATTGACACGAGTTGACAAAAATTTTAAGCTAATGACTTGCGTTTTTGTTAATAGATATACAGTCATGATATTTGGTATGTACATACAGTTTTAGATGCAGAATTCATCTTTTACCGAGATTTAGACCACGTGACCGAGTTTCCTGTAATGAGAGATACAACATTGAAATTTGAAATACATCTATATTTTTAGATGCAGATTTGAAAATTGATAAAGATATTGACAGAGTGATCTACTTACTAATATTAATAGCTACAGCTATGCAATTTTGACTATGCCCACAGTTTAAAGTTACATTAAATAAATTTCATAAAAAAAGAAATAGCGACATTTCATTAATAAATTAGGTTTCATATCGGCTCCAGATCTTATTTTGGTGTCCAGACAACCGAAATAAGTTTAATGAGCATACACATGTGCAACCTCATTTTGGCGAATTCGGTAGCACAATTTCTGTTTGCATTAGAAACTCCGCCTTCGGATCATTCGTACATCAATATTAAATCAGCAAACATGACTATAAGTAGCAGTCCTAATTTAACAGTATTTTTCCGCATTGTAACGGATATTTTCATACAAATTTAATCTGTTTTATGAGATGATTATTTTTTCTGAACCACAGGCCTCGTGCACCGTGAAGCTTAAACGGTAAAAAGTGTGTTTGCACAAGAAAATCTTATATTTGCTGTGTTCCGGATAGCAACTATAACACCGTGACGTAGCGCATACACGAGCTGATTATAGTCTTCATTTGCATGTTAAAATCGTATACGAACTTTAGTGTTACCGTGGGGTTTTCCATTTAAAATCCTAATTTATGAACAATATTTGATGAGATTTACAACGATACTGTTAAAATGGTTAATGAAACTGTAGAATGCTTGGTTTTTATGCCGACGGCAAAAATATATTAACATATTTATTTAGTGTAGCTTTAAGATGCTGTTTGAACTTTGATATCAGTTGCCCTATATTTGTACCCAATGACATACATTTTAGCCCACCTGACCATTATATGTCTTATACATGTAGTGATTCTAAGGTGAGCAATATAGGGCCCATTTTGGTCCTCAAGCCTCGTTATTCAATAACTTTTAAATAACAATTAATTTATTATATAAAGTTATATATAATTTAAAAATGTTACAATGGTTACTTATTTTTAAAGAGAGAGGGCATTTGACATTTCTTATTCTCATTGTTTTTATATGCATGCTGAATTATTTTAGTAATGAGATGTAATAAGTCATTAGTTGAACAACTTTGTTGTTTTCATGACGAGTTGTTTTACTTGTTTACAATTATAGATAATATTGCGATTTAATATTTTTCTGAATAATTCACGAAGTAACAACGCTCATATTTACTGTTAGATATTTAGATAAAAGTTATGATGTGTACTATAAATATCAAAGACTTCTATGACTGTTTAAATGAAGCACTTTACAATTTTTTTAAAGATTACATATATACAGACAGAATATTGATTATCTTTTAAATTAAAGATATGTCCCAGAATAATTTGGCAACACACAAACCTTCCAGCCAGAGCTCGACATTAAACAGGGAAATCAGAGGCAATGCATCGTCGGATTATGCTGTAGATGGAGTTTGGAATTCAAATATGTTAGATAAAAGTAAAACGCAATTCCAATGCTCACATACTCTCCAAAGAAGTAAACATCACTGGTGGATGGTCAACTTAGAACACACAAAACTTGTGAGAAGAATCACAATTTTGAATAGAGGTGATTGTTGTGGTAAGATATGAATATACTTATATATGCTTTCGGAACGTTAATGTGGCTTTTCCTACTTTGTGTTTTTATTTGGATAACAATAAATTTAACCAGAAACATTGACGTGTGCTCTATTGTTAACAAAAAGGTTGTGATGAATTCTTATTGTATCCGCTAATCTGATAATTAGACAGGTAAGGGATCCATGCATTGAGACTCAATGTCGATTAGTACAGGTAACCTGTCTTTAACTCCTATATAGAATAGAAAACTATTGAGTACACACCGGGAACAAATCTTAATGTCGGTAAAATCGGCTCATTAATTGCTTTCTAAGCGTATATATGTAACTGACTGACAGTAACTTAACCAGTGCAGCCTACGTAGCTGAGTAGTTAATCTCATTGACTTCGGATCACTTGTAACTCGCGACCGTGTGTCTGAATCCAGGCCGTATTATTTAAATCATAAAGTCAGAGAGGTATCCAGCAAATTTTCTCATTAATGGGTAGCAGATAATTTAGTGGTGCGCACGCGATACTATGTTGTGGCCACGAGTTCCCAAGTGGAGCACACGAGATACTATGTCGTGGCCACGAGTTACTAAGTCATGGGAACGAGATCATTAACCAAATCAGATAACACTATACATATTTTAAATACATTAGTTTTTAAAATTAAAAAATTCCTGGTTTAAGTTTAACATGGAACATAAATCTTTGAAACTATTGGATGTATTCCCATTAAGCTTGATACATGTCTTAAGGGCCATATAAAGGAAACCTATGGTGCATTTCTAAATAACTATAAAAATTCAAATGTATAGTGTAATCTGATTTGTTGATTATTTCGTGCATACGACTATGGCCACAACATAGTATATCGAGCGTACGACTCGATATAACACGTGACCAAGACATTGTATCTCGTGTGCTTCACTTAATTATCTCACGCGCACGACTTAGTAGCTCGTGGCCACGACATAGTTTCTCGTGCGCACGACCTTAGATATAAAGACATCTCTGCTCAATGATAAAATACATGAGAATCATGCTTCAGTGTGTGTTTTTGTTCAATTTTTATAGAATTGATTATGTTTTTTAGCGGAACGATTGAACAATGTGACAGTCAATGTTGGGGATGAAGAGGGTCAGATGAAACAGTGTGGAAGATTTATGGGTCCTGGTGGTAAAGGAGAACTTGTCGAAATCTCGTGCTCGACACCGCTCTTTGGACAGTTTGTGAAGATAGAAAAATACAGCGATACTGATTTAACATTGTGTGAAGTTGGAGTCTATCCATAAAACTGTTTTTTATCAATAAAAACATAGCAATTTGTGTTTTGTTGTGTATTTTGCTGATAATTAGTTTGCTTATTTGATAATTACTCGATGACGTTACTGTTTTGTTGATAAAAAAACGCATGATTTCAGTGAAATATTTACTAAATAAACATGTTATTTATTTCCAATTTAAAAACACAGTTGTTTTTTAAATGCAAGAATGAATATTAATAAATGAAATGAGCATATAGTCGTTATACTGTTTATCCATCTGTCACGCCCGTTTAACTCACAACGAGTGAAAAATGTCCATCGGTTAAAATGTTGTGAGCAACTTCCGTTCCTCGTTGTGAGCACCCGTCTAGGACGTTTGACACGATAAACAAGGTGAGTTTTTCATATTTTTTGAAAATTACAGACATTTATATGTAAAAATATCGGAATGCAGTTAGCTAGCGATGTGTTTTCCGAGTATGCACATGTAAAGATATTGCCTGTTGGTCGACAATTTGATGGAAATACCGTGCGACGCAGTCACTCGGGGTAGCTGGAAAACTGGAGACAACTTCTCTCCGGACCAAATTTAACATTGAAAAACGTCGATTCTGGTGACGTTTTGTGCATTCTAACCTAAAACAGATGCCCACAAGTCTTCAGCGTAAATTATTACATGAAAGTCTTCATAGAAAGGAAAGATATACCCCTTTTTGCTTTAATCCTCGTTGTGAGCACCATAACCTCGTTGTGAGGCAAGACAAGCGCAGTGCGTGTCTGGTTTTAATATGTAATTCAAGTGGGGAGAATACAATTTTCAATCTACAAAAAGCAATCAAAACGTTTTTTGCACAATAGTTTCTCTGTGCAATAGTTCTTCTTTGTCTACATAACTTGGCCAGTATAACATGAATAAAAATCAGGATAAATACACATTCATGTTTATATCACACACAGACTGCCCTCTATGTTAACTCTGGCAACACGAAGTATATGCAATTAAATACATAATTTACCTCCCCTTATTAGTTCACCACTATTTGCACAAACAGCAAAACATCTGCAAAATTGTAGGTATAAGTAGTTTTTTTGTTTACCATTATCTATTAAGCTAAGAATATACTAGTGAAGTGTTAAAAGTTACAATACACGAAATAAGTAATCCTCCGCGAAAAACGATAGTCACATATAATAACAGATTCAAATAGTTCTCAGCGTTTGTTTGCTTTGTACACGAGCATTTTTCATGATTTTAGTTTGCACTGTCTTTCCTAGAAAGCTCATGACAGTCTGTGTTTTGACATTTAGATAGCATTTTCATCATGAAATAGTGGCATTTTAAGAAATCTTCTTCTTGACTTCTTAGGTGTTTCACCACTGGTAAAATTTTGGGTTAGCTAATTTTACAGTGTGTTTAACTGAAAATAATGTTTTTTGCAAGAGACATGACCAAAACTTTTCTTTTGATTTTTATGCATCACTGACAGTTTTTCTAGTAGTTCTTATCTTTTTCAGACCAGGGCAAGTACATACTTGATGCCTCGCTTCGGTCTCTCCTTGAACGATCCCATGTCCAATCACTGAAAAGAATAGTACTGCAATTGGAAGGCCTTGTGCAAAGAGGTGTTGTGCCTAAATATGAATTAAATTGATTTACTAATAAGGACATTATGGCCAATCTTAAATGTTTTTGGACAATTTGACCTTCAAGGTAAAGGCCATTCAGGGTCAAGGAAAAAAATACAGGCCCGTAGGAAGGTCTTGTGGCTAAGGGATGTTGTGTTCAAATATGAATCAAATCCGTTTACTAATGAGGAAGTTATGGCCAATTTTAAAGTTTTGGGACGGATTGACGGACTGACGGACGGACAGTTCAAAACTAATAGGCCTCCCTTCGGGATATGCACAACGTCTTGCAAAGAAATGCTGCTGTGCAAAAACGTTTTAATTGCTTTGGTAGATTGAAAATTATATTTTCACCATCTTTTGTTTGTTTTGGGTTTTACGTCACATCGACACAGTATAGGTCATATGGCGACGTTCCAGCCTTTACTGGTGGAGGAAGACCTCAGGTGCCCTTCCGTGCATTATTTCAGGGACGAACGGGTACCTTAGTAGAACCACCGACGTTCTGTAAGCTAGCTGGATAGCTTCCTCACATGAAAGAATCCAAAGTCCCTGTCGGGATTCGAACCCAAAGAGGTGAGGGGCAAGTGGTTTGAAGTCAACGACCTTTAACCACTCAGCCACGGACGCCCCCCTTTTTCACCATCTGAATAACATATTAAAACCAGACACGCACTGCGCTTGTCTTGCTCACAACGAGGTTATGGTGGCTCACAACGAGTATTAAAGCAAATAAGGGTATATTTTTTGGGTTTTTTATGAAGATTTTCAGAAATAATTTACGTTTAAAGACTTGGGGGGCATCTTTTTGGTTTTAGAAATCACAAAACGTCCCAAAATCGACCGGTTTTAAAAAAAATTTTTTAAATTTGGTCCGGAGGAATTTTGTCTCCATTTTTTTCCGGCTACCCGAGTGATGCGTCGCAGGGGTTTTTTCCCATAAAATTGTCGAAACGGGCAATATTTTTAAACATGTGATACTGGGAAAAAACCATCGCTAAGCTAACTGCTTTCCGTTTTTTTACATAATGTCTGAAATTTTTAAAAAAATTACAAAAAAATAAAACTTGTTTATGTGTAAACGCCCTTTAAGGGGGTGCCACAAGAGGAACGGAAGTTCCCCTACAACTTTTTAAAGGGGGAGGGACATTTTTCACTCGTTGTAAAGTTAAAGGGGTGTTGTCTTGTTTTAAACTTTAGGGTTTAAAGGTTTTATGTAAATTGCTCCCCTTTGCCTTGCGCCCTGTCCTGTTTTTCTTTGGGGTCCTCCTTGCAACTTTTTCTTGTTGCTGGGTCGTGTGGGGGTTGCATTTATTAAAAGCCGCATTTCCTTGTTGATCTTGTTTATCATATTTGATACCATGAGGACAAGCTCTAATTCTAGGGTTAAAATAGTGTGGCAGTGTGGCAGAAGTTGATTGCAGTTAAAATATAATAAAAGGAGAAAAGGAATAGCCTGTTGTTTGTCCAATCAATAACTTGTATATATGGCACTCTGACAGGCAGATGAAATAGGGGCAGCATTGTCCTATGGTGCATTTCTAGTTAACTAAGAAAATTCAAATTTATAGTGTAATCTGATTGGCTGATTATCTCGTGCGCACAACTAAGTAACTCCTTGCCACGAGATAGTATCGCGTACGCACCACTTAATTATATCGTTTTAACACGGAAAAGGTTTAAATTTTGAAATTTTTTAAAAATTCGCAGATGGTTGTCTAAAACGGCGGGTTTTAATTTAACCTTCAAAGTGAACTTTCGTTGGGGCCCTTTCCCTAATTTTTGGGCCCCCAAGTTTTAATTTCCCAAACATGTGTTCCTAAAAAGGGGAAAACATGGACGGGCCTTTAAAAGACACAGATATGGTTTTTAATGCGGAAAAGTTGTTTTTTTATAAAAAATGGATGCGTTTGAAATGTATATTTTTTTTCACTTACTAGTATTTCTAAAAATTTAAAAATTTTAAAAGAAAAAGTTCAGAAAAAATTGAGGTTTTCCAAATTAAAATTTTATGCACGGGGCTTTCAAAAAAGCTTTTTTGTGTTTTATAATTTTAAAATTTTTCCAAAAATTGAAAAATAGGGAATTTTATTAAATAATGGGTATTTCAAAAAGTCATTTCCCAAATCCATTTACACAAAATGAGACAGGTACGTTATCGTATTCAAACTGGTAAGCCTTTCTGTTCGTTTCTTAAAAAGATTAGTTTTAATTGACATGATGGGACTTGCAAAATCTTATCGAGATTTGTGTACCATTTCTTATAAGGGGTTTGAACCAAAAACTTTGTTAGCAAAATTTTTTCAAAATTTCCAGAACGTTTTTTTTCCAGTTTTTTTCTTGTTGTGCAAAATGATCTAAAAGGTAGGAAAAATGTTACAAGCTTTTCACTTCCCAAATCAGACTTTGATAACTGGCACTAACTAACGATTTATGAATTTAATTTCGGTGTATCATTTGATTATTTTCCTTAACAGGAATTTTAATAATATTATATAATGTTATATTGTAATTTATAATTGTTAAATGGTCCCAGTGAAATGTAAAATTCTACTCATATTATAGTTAAGCTCAACCTCCAACCAATATTTCTACGGTTTGGTAAGCAGCCACTACATTATTGCGATATGTGAAGGTTATAGTTATACATAGTTATAAGAAATTAATTATAGAGCGAACGAACCGACTGACAGTTAGCCCCGCCCATTTAAATCGAGTACATGATGTAAATAGGCGGAGTCCATGAACTCGGCTCATTAAACATATAAATTCAATACAAACAGTTGTGTTAAAGCACTGTTTGGTAAATATTTCGGCAAAATCTAAACAAAATAGAGCGATTTAATTGGCAGACAAATTTTGGCGAACTGTAAATACACGGTAAACTTATATAAATACATATCAAATTAATACAGAAATGTGCTGCAACAAGTATATTTGAAAAATAAAGGACTGTTAAGTTGAGTAAGTAAATTTTTATTAACTTAATCGGTAAATTAAAATATAATTATGCATAAAAGTTATGTACATGCATCCAAAGATTGATTTGGAATAGAATACCATTTAAAGATCCTGTAACACATTTTTTTCATGGTTTTATTTCATAAATATGATGCTCAAATTAAGATTTGTCAATATTGTAAGTTCCAATAAGCATTATTTATAAAGAAATTACAGAATTTAACATTTCATATAAATAAAGGGAGGTAATTAGAAATTTTTTTTCTACAAATTCTTAGTCAAATTTTCAAATAAGAAATGAATGCATATAATTTATTTATATTTATAATATAATGTGCACAAATATTTGCAGTACACATTTTACATATGTTTTGATGTTTGAAAGTTGTTTTATTTGCATAATTATATACATATATAATTTTTTTGCAAGTGTGTGCATACACACATTGTCACAGGTTACTGTTCATTTAGGTTCTCATTGACCGCCGTACAGTGACCTACTTTTGGCTCAAAATTCATATCTTTGGCTAATACTCCGTGGAAATTGCATGGAGGTAAATTATCACCACTTTGTGCTTCAAAATTAACTCTTTAAGGACATGCCTGGTGACATGTCCGGGGTCAGTACTCGACAGCACATGCTGCATATTGTGC